CCTGGCACGGCGAGGAGCGCGGCCTGCCCCCCGCGAGGCTGCGGGAGGGCCCAAGGGCGCCGCCGTGTGCGGGGGGTTGATGCGTCTTGGTGGATCTCGGCTCCCTGGCCCCGCTGTCTCTGCGGTGCCAGGAGGGATGCGGCGATGCTCGAGGCACCCACGGCTGCAGCCACAGGTGCTAACCTGATGCCAGGCCAGCGGTTGCCCCTTTCTAGTGTCACCAGCGGCGCAGGGCTGGTGCGGGGGGTAACTGGCATGGAGGAGAGCAAGGAGAGGAGCTGCGTCCCACACCACGCCACCCCGCACGCGGGGATGGATGAAACCCCCCTCCACCCGCGCTCCCTTCTGGCCCAAGGCAGCAGCCGCCCTGTGCTCGTGGCTTCGAGCTGGCTCCGAGCTTCTTTGCCGCGTTGAATCACGCAAGAATCAGTCTCCCTGACTCATGGCTCCCAGGGCCCCAGGGTGAGGGTCAGGCCACGTGTGGCGACAACCATCCTGGGAAGGGAGCCTGCAGCTCCTGGCGTAGCTGGCGCTTCTTTGCTTCCAGTCTCCTGTCACAGAGCTGCTTCCTCACAAACGTCCCCTCCGTTAGTGCCAGCAGAGCGGGGCAGAGGCTCGTGGCCGGAGCAGCCTGCGCTGTGCTTGCAGCAGCGAATACGAACCAGAGAGCTGCCCCTGGGGAGCGGGGCATAGCCCACTGCCCCAAAGCAGAGCTCTCCAGGTAAGACGGGCCTCCTGGCTCGGAGGAGGGAGCAGGAAAGCTGCGTTTTCCTTGCCTGGCTTTGTCACCCTGTGCAGGGAGGCCGAAGCCCAAGCAACGATGCCAGCGCATGCGTGGTGCTGGGTTGGGGTGAACTCGCCTTGGAAGCGATGCCAAGGCTAAGGATTGACACCTGCCACCTTCTAGGCCTGACGAAGGGAGGCTTAACATGTGGGAAAGACGGGGATGTGGCACTGGTGGGAAAAGGGAGACCCTGCAAATCACAAGTGATTCCCTTAGGGCAGCATCCTGCCTGAGATGAGGCGATGGGGCTGGAACTAGCTGATGCCTGTGTGTTTGGTGGTGCCGGGGTGCCGTTGCTGCGGGGTGTTGTTGAACCCCCATTTGCTGTGAAGGGTTTCGAAGGAGCTGGGAGACCCTGCAGCTGCGGAGCTCAGGTGCCTGGCTGGGTTCGGAGGGAACCTCCCCGCATCCCTCCTGCAGGAGCCGCGGGGTCACCTGCTGCAAGGAGCCCTCTCCTC